ATTCAAATATGGAAAATGATGTGTGCACACCCGGATCTAACACCCGGGTGTGCACACCCTGCATAAAAAAAAAAATCCTCACCAAGTGCATACCATTTTTTTTATTTTTATGTGGAAGGTGCACACCCGGGTGTTGGATCGTGCACCAATCAAGATCCTTATTATTATTACTTCAAATATTTTTATTCATTAAATTAGATTCATTGAATTTCTTACGTCTTTGAACCATGTTTAGAAGTTGATGACGATTCAATCGATCACGTTAAATGTGATGATGGCGACTTGATGCAAAACAATCACACATGATCAATAAGAATTATCTTCGATAAGCAAAGAGGACTGGATTATGGAAATTGTAGTGAAATAGAAAAATATTATTTCATCAAAAGAGTCCAGACAAAAACGTATGGCTAAGATTGGGAAGGAGAATTATATTGTATGGCAGAGGAAGCTTCGAAAGGTTGAAATTGAATATCAAAATAGAGTCTCCAAATGATAGCACAATTACATCGAAAAGGATGGCACGAACAGCTCGATGGGAGCATCGATGCATGGCAGAGGAAATTCAAAAAGGCCAAATTTAGGCAATCAAACAACTTCAAGGAAAACAAGGGGTAGATGAATTGAAACTCGATAAGGCAGGATCAGGTCCGCAATATTAGAAAATAATTTATTAAAGTTTTTGCCTCCTACGTTGATATGAAAGTATTAATAGGGAAATTCTTGATTCATATAATTTTTTTATATGATTTTGTTTTGCAAACAAATATTGTGTGGGGTTTTGGTGAGTAAACATATAAAGAAGCATGCAATGCACACGATTTAAATGCATGAGTTCACCTTTTATAAATTAAGAATTTGTTCATCTTATACCTTAAGAACATGGAATAAAACTTAATTATTAGATAATAATTGTCAATTTTTTTAAAAGATGTGACATTTTAAATTAAAAAAATTAAATTTTAATTTTAATTTCAAATTGAATCAATAAAAAACTAACACGTAACATTTGTAATTAAAATAAAAGTTAATTTTATTATTTTCAAGATAAAAATATTATAATAATTATACAATTATTATTTTATCTTATACCGTAATGGTCCAAAATAGATAAACCCATAAATTAATTCTTCAACACCCATAGCAATGGCTGCAATGGTAAGGTACATCTTACAGCATAAATACCACTTTGATTTAAATCCTTGTGATATAATATCCCTTTTCTCCATTTCTCATGTTCAGAAAAAAAAAAAAAAAAAGATTCTTTGAGTTTGAGTGATGATTTTAGATCATCATCTATCAAATCTCTCTTCCAATAAAACGTTGCACTCAATAATATTGTTTCCCAAGCTATCCATCCATGCTTATCTCTTTTGTATCTATTTAGTCAAACATAAGGGAGAAAACATCTCCTTGAAGATGGCTTAACAAGAAGTTAATAAAGATATAAATGTCTACCAACGACTTATTGGTTCGAGTAGAAAAAATTCAGTTCCTCTTAATTAAATAAGGTCTTGAGTTCGAGTCTTGTGAATGGAGAAACAAGCACTGGGAGAGTTTCCCCCCTAATAGGGTTTGACGTGACTTAATTTTGGATTAGTCGGAACTAATGTGATTATCAGATACCGAGAGGTTAATATTAAAAAAAATAAAAGATATAAATGTCTATAGAGTTTTTTTCATAAAAAAAAAAAAAAAAAAAAGAAAAAGAAGAAGAAGAAGAAGAAGAAGAAGAAGTCTACAGAGTTCTATAAATAGTAGCCATCGGGCACAATGAGATGAGAGAAATAAAATACGTGTTGAAATCTCATTTTGAGATTAAATAAATCTTAGACTTGATGGATGAAAGCGCGGCTCTTGGCCATGAGAAGGAAAATATATAATATATATGAGGGCAATTCTCTTCAATAATATGAATATGAGCAAGTTTTGAGTGCATGTTCGGATATTGACTATTTGATTTAATATTTGTCTTAGCTCCATGTATTGAACATTTATATCATTTCATGTGCTTTAGATGAGTGATAGTGTCTCTTACTTGGAATATTATAACTTCTAGAAGCTGGACATGTTTCAAAGAATAATTGATATTTGGTTATATAATGATAAGTTAATTTTATTCTTGTAAGAGTGTTAGTCATTTTAAGTAATATAATAATAAAAATTAAGAGTTGTCTTGTAGAGACTATAAACTAATTAAATAACAAAATTAACTAATTGTAATTTTATTTAAAAAATTAAAATTAAATTATTTGAGTAAATTAATTAACTAAACTAATTTAAAAAATCCAAGTTGATTTTAAGTAACACAAGAATTAGAATTCTAAGGGCAACTAATTTTACCATAATCATGTAATATAGAATTTAAATTAAGATACTTTAGTATCTTTATTATTCATATGATGGTGAAATTTCTTGATCTATTCAATATATTTTTCCAATTATATCAAATATATCCTTCTTATTAATTCACTATATCTTTATATAAATTTAAATAGATAAAAACAGATTATATTTTGTAAAACTTCCTAACTTACTTTCTAACTTGCATAAAAACTTTCAAAACCACTTATCATTAATGCTGCACAAATCAAGTTAATCCATTTTTAACTTTTATTCAATTCATAATATATATTACTAGAAGCTATTATATACAATCTCTTCTCCATCTCAATTATACTCTCCAAATCAATTTTAATAATGGTCAATCATTAAAAACTATTAAAAACAACAACATATACTCTATACATAAAATAATAAGTCTTGAAAGTATATAAAAATCACACTATTCTATATCAAATTAACTAAGTTACATTGGAGTCTTAAATAATTGAATTAGTTCATAACTAAAAATAAATAAATAAAGTATTTCATGATAAATATAAAAGTATTTGATATTATAAAACAAAATCTAAATACAAGTAAAATAGTTTAACCATATAAAACTCAAGTTTTAATTTTCTTTTAATGTTAAATTCTTTGTTACCGTCTCTTTTTGGATCTCCAAATGCTCCCCAAGTCTGATTTTAAATGAATAAGAAACCTTACTAAAAAAGAAATAGGATCCATGATAAAAATGAAAACTCTTAAAGCTTAAAGAGCTTAGTGTCAATACCGCAATGTTGGTGTTGGCACTTTAGTTTATTTCACCCGCTGGTTCCTTTCCAAAGGCTCAACGCATGGTGCCTAACCTATCAGGTGGCGTCGACATCAAACCCGGGGATTGGAACTTTTTGCAATTTCTTTAAATGATAAAATGTCAATTTGGTCCTCTATCTTCTTAACAATGAGTCTATAGCTTCTAATTTATTCATTTGGGTCCCTAAAAGTGATCTTTCTTCACACAATACGGTCCCTCAACTTTCAAAAGATATTCAATTAGGTCTAAAAGCTTCAATTATTTTGCATTCATGTCTTTTTTATGTACGAATAATGAAAATCAAGTAAAATACATTGAAAATCGCATTCTATCCCTCTAAATAGCAACAAAATCAAGATTAAAATAAAAAATTAAAGCATATAAAATGCATCTCATCTTGTAAAGTAAATGAAATTCTATTTACATGGGTTATGTTATTGGCATGGTTCATACCTAGTCACAAGCCTCTCTTGAATATTCCATCTCATTGTTAAAATACAACTTGGAAAAGACATGTTTATGTATATGAAAGTTTCAATAAAAATCATTGTGCATGTCATACATGCTTAAAATTGCTTATCTTGATAAGAGATTTGTGGAAATATAAAAGGCTAATAAATATTGTCTTGTTTCATTAATGGAAGATTGCTTAGGGCATAAGTGTATTTATCACTTTTGATGCCTCTTAATTTATACTTACAATATCATATTTCAATTGGAGTAAATTCAAACAAGTGATAATCAAGTCTCATAATGACTATCTTGTCATAATGAAGAAAGAAACACTAAAATGGGATTTGGCAGCCCATTAGGAAATCAAATTGATTTCAGTTTAGATATAAATAAGGATAAGAGAGACCAAGTAAAAACAAGCTCTTAGTCTTGATTAAGAACTAGCAAAGCTACCATAAGGATTTTCAAGTCCTTGTTTAAATGCTATCTCTTAATAAGATAACCAGTAGTAGCAAGTGCAACTTTGTGTACTTGATTTGTTGACAGAGGCCTACCATAATTGTCCAATTGGACAAATTGAAGGGAAAATGGAATTAAATTTCCATAAATCTATCTAGCCATAAGGCTAGAACTTATAAGTGAAATTTAAAGAGAAAAAAGAATTGGGCCTTGAAAATCTCCTTGAGAGATTAAATAAGAATTGGGCCTTGAAAATCTCCTTGAGAGATTAAATAATTTTATCCCAGGAAAGAATAGTTCTTGGTCATGGGAGATAAATGTGATCATTTGAGTTGTTCTAGGATTTTGATTCAAATCATTCAAAATTGATCTGAAATACTTGCACAATGAGTATAGAAAGTTTTATAATTGAATTTAAATCACTCAAAGTTTATTTAAAACTATTGCTTAGAAAACTCAAGAAGTATTGACATTTTAGTTTGAACCCCATTTATATGATTCGAATCACTTATGATAAATTAGAAATTAAGAGATAAAACTCTGATGTCTCTCATGAAGAAACATTGCTGTCATAAAATTGACAAAGAGATATTTAAAATAGTAAGAACAATCCAAAAAATAAAAGGAATAAGGACTAAAGTCCTTCACACATGAAAAGCAAATAAAAACTAAATTTGGAAGTGGAGAAAAGCAAGAATTCCACTTATTCATGATATTACAAAGTCATTTGATACTATTTAGAAGCGATATTGCTTGTTCTTGGGGATGTCACACCTTCTAAAGAATTCATATTAATCTAAGACATTCTTATATGAATGTGTATGATGACTTAAAACTATGTGATGTCATCAAGTGATTATAAAGAAATTTATATGACAAATGTAGACATGGAAACAATTAATTCCTAATAAGGTAATCACCATAATCTTTGCAAGGTATTGTGAGAATTAATTTGGTGAATTGTTGATTAAATGATTATCAAAAGAAAATTTTAAAAGACAAGGAAAGGAATGAGTATCGAGCCTATCAGTAAAACTCACACATGATGAAACCTTGATTTAATACTTGATAACAACATCAAGTTTTAAGTTCAATGAGTAAAGCACATCATATGAATGTGACTACAAGTTCTCAAATCTATAAACAGTACCATCTTAGGTTGAAGAGTACTTGGTAACCATATGAAACAAAGTAGAGGTTGAACCTTGCTCTTAATATGTCCTATAATAGATTTTTGTTAAACTGCTAAATACTGGGCACTTTTGATGAGATTTGGCTATATAAGTGGAAGTGGTGTTGCTTCTAACAGTTGGGGACTATAATAGATTTTTGTTAAAGTGCTTAATTGTCACGCCCCAAAACCCAATTTCGAGACGCGACAGACGCCGTGCACTCGTGAGACGGGTCCCACAAATGCACAAGGCTCGGAACTTACAAATTCACACTCTGATATCATCAAGATCTGAAGATCAAATTATAAGATATTCTCTCATATCATAAATCTCCAAATACACTCTGGTTTACAAGATCATGATTTATCTAAAGCTATGCTCAATTTACAAGTGGCTAGCCTTCTAACTCGTCACTTCCCGTGGTTTCCCCGTCCTCGGTTTCACTTCCTGAAATGGTGGACAAGGAAAACTATGAGATAAACTCAGTAAGCAAATATGGAGTGCCCCTTATCAAACTTAAAGCATGCCACATGTGCAATCACGCAAAACGGATACAGTTCGGGAACGAAATAGACGTCTCCTCTATAGGTCATGGCCAGTTCCCACTGGCAGGCAAACAGGAATACTAGTGTATAATCCCCACTAGTAGGGCCACAATTTGCTGGTGTATAACCCCCACTAGCTGGGTTGAACGAACCGACTCTATCACTACATGTCGACATGTGCTAGCGTTTATA